CTCTCTCTCTCTCTCTCTCTCTCTCTCTCAAAGCGCACTGCACTCTCAAGGCAAGCACCAGCTAAAAAAACAAGCCTGGAAACGACAACGCAGCATTCCCCAAGCAACAGAGAAGTCATCAATCATGAAGAGCATCAGCAAGACGAAGGCAGGTGACCAAACATATCTCACGACAAGAGAGATCTCACCTCCAACCTTCCTTCCTCGCTGTCTCTCTCCTACAGGCACGGAGGCAGTCGGCTGCCTTCCTTACTCTCTCAGCTATGGCTGCCTTGCCTATCTCTCTACTTCTGCCTGGTGCAACATAGTTCCCAGCACGTGCTGCTCCCCATGAATAGACCAGAGCCGTGTTTAAAATTGAAAAAAAAAAAAAAAGGTCTCCACCAGTGCATGAGATCCGGCAGCAGCAATGCACCCGGCCAGAATGTGAGGGCCCCGCTGCACCACTCAACAAATATGCAGCACGAGAAAATATTTCCTGCTAGAACGTCGAAAAATGCGACGCACCCACCATGTTTTTGTCTTTTCACATTTGGTGAGTCGTGCGGTGAGGGCCTGAATCCCTAAAATGAGCAAACAAAATACCAACTGTTGCACCCATGGCCATGTGGCAGGGCTCCCTCAAAAAAAGAAGAAACATATGGTCCTGTTGTTTTCATAAACCCCCACCATCCCAAACCTTGGATGCCAAGCCTGCCTGACCCATGATTCATGTCGGGCCTACCTTCTTCCCCCGAACATAACGCATATGCGTTGTAAGCGAATACGCTAACAAAATACCAACTGTTGCACCCATGAACATGTGGCAGGCCTCCCTCAAAAAAAGAAGAAACATATGGTCCTGTTGTTTTCATAAACCCCCACCATCCCAAACCTAGGATGCCAAGCCTGCCTGACCCATGATTCATGTCGGGCCTACCTTCTTCCCCCGAACATAACGCATATGCGTTGTAAACGAATACAACGAATAGGGTGCGTTCTAGTTGAATACAACGCATATGCGTTCTATTCGATTTTTTTTTTCAAATTTGAAAACTTGAATGCAACGCATATGCGTTATGTTTGGGGTAAGAAGGTAGTTCGGGGCCAAAGGGGACGCCAAACTGGGAATGCACCGCACCACCCCTCTCCTATCCGACACACGTCCTCACCAGAATCTGCATTCGGGGCAACTTTTGGTCTAGGTACGGCGATAATGACCGTACATTCTGTGGCACCTTTCAGTGCGAAATTATGACAGCTGCCGCCAGAGCACTGGTTGTTTAAGATTCCTGTTCAGGAACTACCGACTTCACCCGAATATGTATTTGGGGCAACTTTTGGTCTAGGGACAGCGATAATGACCATACATACATTCTATTTGGGGAAAAATGGTAGCGCGAACTGTAGAACAAATCCTCAATTTGTCGTGCAAATTCATGCATATGCGCCGCAGCACAAATCGCAAACCTGATTTGACGTCGCAGAGTTTTCAAAGCGGTTTACGAACTTGGACCATGTTTCTCCCCACTTAAGCCACCAGTACTTTGTCCTTCGGGACACCCATTCAAATTGGAACAATACAGAGAAGATTAGCATGGCCCCCATGCAAGGATGACACACATAAATCAAGAAATGCTCCAGATTTTTATAATTAAAAAAAGCCACGAGTACGTCCAAGCCACTTAACCCGAGGCAGATTTGTGCTCCATGCCAAATAAAAGATGAATAGGCATGGTGCTTTCTTTTCCTTCCAATTTTCCTGGCTGTGTCGGCCAGCTAGCTCCGGTAGGCCACAACCCCCAAAGGATGCGCTGGGCCGTGTGTCTGTTCGCCTGAGAAACGTACTCATGGTTTAAACCACCATTACCCCAGGGGGTCTTAGGCCCCCTCTAGGGAGGCTCTGACGCAAATGCATATGGACCCACGCGGCACACCGATTCAGGCACCGTGTTAACGGCCTAAGAATGCGGAGGTACTCATGGTTTAACAATGCCCATCTTATTATTGCGGGCCCTGCAAATTGACAAAACCGTATTGGGTCGATTTCATACCTGCAACAGTGACGAAGAAGGCCTTTTCCGGACTCCTGCCCCCTTGGAAAATAATTCCCTTGCTCGTTCAAAATTGCCCACCCTCCATTCGAACAATGCCCAAGCCTGTTAGGACACACACACACACACACACACACACACACACACACACACACACACACACACACACAAATCTCCACACACACACACAGATCTCCACACACACACACAATCACACACACACACACACACACACACACACAACACACAAAACACACAAACAGACAGGAGAGGGCAAAGTGAGGCAAGGTGTGCACCACAGGTCTTGACGGGCAACGGAGGACAAAAGGGGACAGCGGTTGAAGTTTAATCCGACAAAGACAGTACAGTCTCCACTTGTATCCAAACTGGTTTCAACAGTCAATTCCTGCAAACCAATTCAAGGAAACGACGACGCCGATGAATCCACACCTTCTGCAAGTCAACCAAGTTGCTTAGCTGGACGATAAAGGTCACGCTATGGTAAGTAACCAGGTACAACAGGAAGAGCAAGTGGCAGCTGTACTCAGGGTGGGAAACAGTTTGTCACTCTGAACCACCCGTACACCCGGGCCTGGAGGGGCCTTCCTGCGCGCCAAGCTTTTCCGAACCACCAGCGACACACTTTCTTTCTTTTTTGGCTGGCCCCGCCAGCCCTTGTGGTCCGGTAGGCGGAGTGTAGGCGACGAGTTGCATTTTCAGCAAGGCTTGGGCCGTGTACTGGCGTTTTAAGCCATAGCCAGGAGGCGAATCTTCAGAAAAAGCTCTAGTTTCGAATTCCCAAACGCTTGTACTCCCTGTATGCATCTGACAGCACTTAAAACCACAACTACACGCCCCATGCAAAACGAATAGGTGGGCCAATATATTCGCTGCAACTTTCGGGGGTTGGCGCTACCAGACCAAAATGGCTGGCGCCGCCGTTCGTAACAAAAGAAAACCGCACCCATGCAATTCGGTTCCGTATAGGCGTGCAGTATTATCCGCCTCAGTAAAAACAGTAGCGGCCCTCTTAAAAAAGAGAGGACAAGATACTCTATGAGAGAAGAAGACAGTGGAGGAGCGAACGATAATAATTTCATTAATAATCAAAGATTGCAATGCCAAACTTCTTCCCCTCCTTCGTCATTTCGTTCCTCTCCAATCGCGTCCCTTCTCTCAGGCCAGCAAGCCTACTTCACTAGGACCAGTACACGACCCCAGCCCTGTAGAAATTTGTTCGTCGCCTACTCCAAAATTTTGGCGGCTCGGGTCTACTGGACCACGATGGCCGGCGTCGCCAGCCAAAAAAGAAAGAAATTGAGCCGCTGGCAGTTCGGAAACTGCGCAGCGCAGCGCCTCCAGGCGCGAGTGTATTGGTGGTTCAATTCAAACCACCATTAGGTGCAGTACATCTTGAGAATCGCGTTTGATAACTCCTACGCGGAAACTCGAGGCAGGGCCAGCCTGCAGGCAGGCGGAAATTGTTTTTCTTTCAGTGCCACGCCTGGTCCCCCACCCCAAGGCACATGACATTTTCTTTTTCCACCTGCCTGTGGCTCGCTCCTCTCCCGAGCCTCCAATTTTTTTAGGAATGATCAATCGTGATTCTCAAGTCGGCTGGGGCCATGTACTGGTGGTTTACACCGCAAGTACACGGCCCCAGCCTTGCAGAAAGTTTTTGTCGCCACAAGCGAAACTCGGACAGGCCGCGCGGCGTGGGCCGCCGTTGAAAAAAAAAATCGGCGGCCTCCGAAGTGGTGCGAGTTTGGTGCTGACACCCACGGGCTGATATGTGGTGTACTGGCGCTTTAAGGCCAAAATTCACTCCACAAAGTATCACTGTGAGCGCACCTAAGTTCCATTTTCCTTTTTCTTTTTTAACACGCCTTTTTCAATCCATGTCAGTTTGTTGCATCTCCGACCAGTGAACGTATAGTCTGACCTATAGCACAACTTTCACGGCTATATGCTCGCCACCGCAGAATAGTGCACAAGCATTTGAATGAGACACCCTGCAGCAGTGTTCCTAAGACAGGGGCATGCATAATTACGAGTCTTTATGATCATATTAGGCGCACATCGCCGTGCAAGCATTAGAATGAGACACATCGGAACATACACCAGACAAGCGCACATAGACCATGCGGCCGAATGGTATACACACATGTAACTCTGACGAAACAGATTATGAATTCAAATCCTGCTGGACTCAGCAGAATACAAGACCCGACAAACACATTGTTCTAATGGAGTTCACGTTCGTTCTAAAGAAGCTCACAACCTTGCGATACAAGCTACCGAAGACTGTGTATGACCTGAAGAGACAGTGCTGGTGCTGATCATATTAGGCAGGTCACGGATGAGATCCTGCAGAGTTTCTGACATGATCCTTCACTATGCGCCCTAACGTCACAAACCGCATCCCATACTTACTCACCCACACAGCCGTACACAACATGAACACATTCAATAACGAATACGAAGCGAATACGAAGCCTGTGTCATAAAAAGGTACACGCACGCAACTTCTGAGAATCGGGTCATGAGTTCGAGTCCTGAATCCTGATCGAGTATATTAATTTTATGAATATCACAGCTTCTGACAGATAAAATAATGTCAGGGGGTTACTCTGTTTAAAAGTTGGAAAAAAAAGAAAAAGAAGTGTAACAAAGCTCAGATCCTTGTGATACCAACCACCCAAGACTGAACGTGATCGGAGCAGACAGTTGTGGCCTTTGAAAATAGTCTTTGTGATTCCGCTACATCTCCATAGCTCGATTCAAGCAAAGCCCATGCCTGCAGAAACCAAAACACATGAAACACAGGAATCAGCACGATATCCAAGTGACCACAAGGACCACAGCTGTGAAGACAAGTTGCCGACCCCTGCATGGAATAACACCCACAAAAAGAAGACTCACAAACAATATGCCGATGCTGTTCGCATCCACGCTGATCATTCCCAACAGGAAAGAAAGAAAATGAAGTGCACGCACCTCACCGGAGATATGCCCTGAAAGTTGTAGATGTACTGAACATGAGCAACAAGGCGTGAGGGTAAGGAACTGGAAAGACCGAGCAAGCACGCACACACACACACACACACACACTACTCTTCCGCTGCTACCTGCCCCCTCCCCCCCTCCCTTGCATCCTGTAGAACTCCACCCCTTACCCCTTGAGCAACAAGTAGTGTGGGTAAACGACCAACAGTACTCATCTTGATCTTCTTTTCGAACTATTTTTTTCTGATTGAACGTCCACGCTGGATGGAATTCCCCTCCCTGGTTTTTGTTCACCCATGCCCAGAGTCATGTCAAGACGACCACCACGTCCGCGAATATACTCCCTCCACATCCTCACTCTCTCCACTCCTACCAGCGCGCTCAAGCATGAGAGAGAAAATACCTTCGGCCCCCACCCACATTCTTCCACCGCCCCCACCCACATTCTTCCACCCTACTCACGCCCTTCCACCTCATGCCTTGACCACTTCTTCCATAGCGTGCCATGTCATAGCACCAGCCAGCCAATGTGACACTCTCAGGTATTGTTTGTCATAGCTTCTGCCAGGCACATGACACTCTCAGCAGCATTAACATGAACTTTCCCTCCCCTCTCCTCCCCTCCTCACCCATTAGTAAACCTCCCCTCCCCATGTATCACTTCCACACCAAAGGCACCGAGTCTCCACCTCCATGTTTTGTCCTTCAGCCACCATCCGCTGCCCTGCCTAATACACGAGCAGCCTTCCGCTCTGCATCTACGCCACCATCTGCTGCCCTGCCTAGTACACGAGCACCCTTCCACTCTGCACCTACGCCCTGCGATGGCTTCGACCAGGCAACATCGCGCTCTCACCAACATTGACGTGGGCTTCCCTCGTCGACCCCCCTTGTTACCTCCAAATGCAAGGTGCATTGCTTCCCCCTTCTCGCTTCTCAGTTTAGCTGCCTTTGCATGCCCCTGCCCATCCATTTCATGACTAGCCCCCCAGACGGCATGCACAGAGTAGGTTGAAGCCCTGTCTGGCGTCACCCGCACTGGTTCACCCTGTTCAGCCTAGATACAGCGATAATGATCGGGTGTTCTATTCGGGTGAAGACGGTAGTGCTCAAAAACTCGCACTGGTTCATCCTGTTGGAGCTCTGAGGTTTAATGACCTGCACAATTGCAGACAGAAAAAAAACCGCTGTTTTTTGCGTATTGCTGTGTGTGGGACTGATTTGCTGCGATTCTCCTGTGGGACTGATTTTCTGCGATTCCCGTGTTCTGCTGAGTGCTGGCTGATATCCCGTGTGTTTGCCATGTGTTTGAGAACTCAGATGTGTGTGTGGGGCCCGCTGTTGAGGGCCGATGTGTTGACATGGCCCTCGGGCCGGTACGTACCTTTGGTCGTGTGACTTGTGGGATGCAGCCGCGAAAGTAGGGTACGCCAGGCCGCAGAGGACAGAATCATGAAGCAGCGGGTAGAGTGGCAGATAGGACAAAAAGGTAGGTAACTTTGAGAGGATGGGTCGCATTTTAGAAGTCCGGTAGGCTTAGGGGTAGGTACCAATCTGGTAGGCCTGAGTCTAGAGCCTGCGGGGAGGGGATAACAGACTGTAATGATGTTCCAGCCAAAAGTAGAAGGTACCGGTGGCTTTGGGAGGCCATGCGGCCTGGAAGTCACTGCGTGAAGAGGCACTAGTCCCATTTATCAGGAGAGGAGAGGAGAAGTCAAGCACCACCCCATTTGCTGGCGTGCAGCTTGGAGGTATGCTGCTGGAGCAACCTCCCGGCTGGAGGAGCGCTGGGTGGAGGAAGGAGGTGGAGCTTGGCCCCACCGTCGCTATTGTGGAGGTGGGAGAATGCCTAGCTATTGCGGAGGCCTAAATAGGAAAAAGAAGGAGGAGGAGGGCCCCAAGTCGGGTGATACTTGGAAGGAAGACTCCGGGGGTGGAATGAGGCATGGCGGCCACAGGGGGAGGGACACCATAGCTTTGTGTTGTTCGTTCCACATCGGAGCTTAGTTCCCATGGTCCGCCATAGCCACCGGCTTGACCAAGAAGAAGAAGGACGTGTGGGACAGCTATGGTGGACTCCTTGAGTAGCTGGCAGTAAGGCGAGGCATCGGACATTGATTCCGGTTCATTCTATCATTGTTGTTGTTGTTGATGATTACTATTAATAAGATGTTGGGGGAGATGTTGAAGGAGGGAGTTGGCGGCGACAAGAGGGAGAAGTGACATTGGCTCTTGCTTGTGTTCATCTTCTTCTTCTTCTTCCATTCTCATTTCTCTTCCTACTTTATCCATTACTATTTCCAATCTCTTTCATTTCAGTTGCAATTGAACAGCATTGTCCTTCTTTGAGTCTTTGAACTGTTAACTACTCAGGATTTTATTTTTTTTTAACATCCACCAGGCCTGCTAGTGGGGCCCAGGAGCATAACAGAGAATACCGTTTCATGTTAAGCGCCAGCGTGTCTCCTAGTGGCTGCGCGCACATTCGTCTTTCGTGTTCAGGTCAGCTTTTTGGTCCAGGTCCGCCAATGCAGTGCGGTTGGGTTCTGGGCATCGGTAGGGACCCACGCCACGCACACAGATTTCTGGAACTGGGCTACACCCCTCTCTCTCTCTCTCTCTCTCTCTCTCTCTCTCTCTCTCTCTCTCTCTCTCTCTCTCTCTCTCTCTCTCTCTCT